AGGGGGGGAGCCCCGTTTACTGCTTCCTGTTCATTTATTTAAAAAAAAAAAAAAAAAAAAAAAAGATGTCAAAACGCTTCCTTCGAAATTCGCTCGAGACACTCAAGAGTTGGACGCCGTTGTCATCCTGGTGTCTCCGGCTCGGCTGAATTCATTCCCATCCCTCGTGTGCTGGCAAATGTCCCAAATTTCTTTTCCATCCTTCCTTTTTCTTTCCCCGCCGAAACGCCGCTGGAATGAGCCGAAAAAGTGTTCCCAGAAGTCAACTGAGTGTTACGAGTGAACGTCCTCCACGAGCAGAAACATGGCTAATCTGGAAAACCACAAAGTAGCCATTAAACGTGTTGTATTATTTATTTTTGTATTTTATTTTTTCCCCCTCACCAATTCGGGAAAAAAAAATACTTGAGGAAAAAAATTAAAATAAAAAAGCAAAGTGTTGCGCCATAAAACCACCAATTCAAATTTTTTTAATGCAATTTACCTTCCATCTTTTTTTTAGAGAACAGATGAAACTATGACAAGATTTCACTTGTTAAACACATCAGATGTTTTTTGGGGGGGCCCGGTCGCTGAAACTATGAAAATTGATTAAAGAAGCAATTTAATCAAATTTGAAGAAAATTATTTGATCATGGGAGAGGACAAATTTTTTTTACGCTGAATGAATCATTTTTTTGTACATCTTGATGCAAACTATCACGCAATCAATTAATCGATTATTCTCTCCAGTTGAAACTACTTTTAGGTGGGAAATAGATCACGTTCACTATCAACATTCCAAAAGCCTGCAAGCAAAGCAGCGCCCACACTGAATGCAGTAAACATGCATGCAAAATCCTCAAAATTTCGCTTGTGTGGGTGCGAGTGTGTGTGGAGGCGAGTTAATGGCGCTAACCCAGCACACACACATACACTCAAACACACACCTCTGACTATGTTTGAGATTTTCTACCTGAAACACTTTTACCGGCTGAAACAAGTGGTGGGGAGTACCCCAGGGGTTGCGTCTGGAGCCATTTTTCTTTCAGATGTCCCAATGACGACGACACGATAAAGGTCGTCACAAGTTGCTGATTGAAACTTGCACACTCGCTTCATTTTATGCAATTTTAAATTGTGTTCTTGGCTGTTTTGCTTTACTACAGTTTCCCATCAGTGAGGCGGGGGAGCAATAGCCCATGCTGTCGTATTTGTTTCCAGCGCCTGTGCAGCATAAAAGTCAATTGACAAAAAGAGACAAGTAGCTGGCAATCATTATGAGGCATGTGGTTTATAGTTTTTCCCCTGGAAGCGGCGAGGAGATTTTGGTGAGTAAAATGACAAACAGGCCCTCGCAACTGCTTTTTTAATGTCAATCCTGGAAAGGAAATCATCAAACTTTGACACCCATATTAGACGGTGGAGAATTGCTTCCTACTGGCAATGTTTTCAGATCTTCCCAGGAACACAAGAGGCAGAAGTCCGTAAACTGAGTGCGGCCGGACCCAATGAGCTGCAAGGTTTTTCAATCCCGAGTAGGAAATGACAGCACAATGAACGGATGCGCGCACACACACACACACACACACACACACACACACACACACACACACAGAGCGGCACAATAGTTTGCAGGGTCGCATTTCAAAGCACAAAGAGCAAGCGAAGTTTAGTTTCAAAGAAGGTGCAGCTATGAACTAATCTTACAAATAATTGCCGGTTTTGTGGGCAGCCGCAAAAAATTTACTAGTGTCGCAAGTGCTTATATGTGTTGTGTGATTAAATAGAAGTTGCTTGAAGGTTAATAATTCGATGCTAATTTTCATTTGCCAAGTATGACATTTTCCATTATATGTTAGCATTAAGCTAATGGACTTTTGCTAGACTAAACTGTATTGTTGAAGAGATTTCATTCTCTTTTCTAGCTATGAACTAATCTTGACAAATAATTGCCGGTTTTGTGGGCGGCCACAAAAAAATTCCGAGTGTCGCAAGTGCTTACGTGTTGTGTGATTAAATAGAAGTTGCTTGAAGGTTAATAATTCGATGCTAATTTTCATTTGCCAAGTATGACATTTTCCATTATATGTTAGCATTAAGCTAATGGACTTTTGCTAGACTAAACTGTATTGTTGAAGAGATTTCATTCTCTTTTCTGTTATACTTCAGTTGTCAAGTTAAAAATACACTTTAAACTTCAATTCATACTTTGATCCTGCCTTTTTAAGTATTCATTGAAATTTTGATTCTAAGGACTCCCGAATGTACACCCACAACATACGTCTTTGAACTCGAAAATGTTTGTTGCTGCCCCACACACACACACACACACACACACACCCAGTCCAGCTGTGCTGCTGATTCTGTGTGTGAATTATGTATTGTGTCTCCTTCCCTGGAAAAACACACACGGGGAGGGAATGAGAGGACGGGAGAGTATTTTGGGAGTGGCAACACGTTTGGAAAAGCTTGGAAAGGAAAAGTGAGGGAAGGGCTGTAGCTGGATGGAACACGCAAGGCATGTCCTCTTGAGTCATGCCGTCTCATCGCACGGAGGTCGAGGAGCCTCGGCGCTGTGGACATGTCTCTCCTATGTCTCCCTATACAATGAAGCATATGTTGTCTCGAGTCATCTCTAGTCATGTTGTGAAAAAGACATGTATCTAGTCATGTCCATGTTGCCTGTAATGTTAGCAGGCTCTCCACACTTGGGAGACGGCATCATCTCTCCGATGAGGACATATTGTCTCCAGTAATGTCTTTTCGTGACAATGAGATTTTTCTCTCCCGTCTTGTCTCAATGGAGAAGCCACTCGGGGTTTCACCAAATGTGTCTCTGCATTGAAGACA